CTCTCTCTGGGTGCTGGCCAATCAAGAGGGCAGGACAGGGGCATTTGGCCTGAGCCTTCACATTAATTAAAGGCTTCAGATGTAGATTTCTGATGGTTTGACAATATCTCCAAATACAGTCATGAAAGGCACTGGCAGGACGAAATGAATATATTCATTGTACAGCTTTAAATACCACAGTTTTTATAACTCAGTTTTGGCATTTCTTCTTTTTCCCGGGAGCCTAAAAAAATAAGTGGCCGTGGTGTGGGTCTCCCTCCGCCTGTAAGAGGCCCCAAGAAGGCGTATTTTCTGCCTTTTTTTCAGGGTGAAGGGAATGAAGCATGAGGATCCTTCAAGTTCCTGATAGTGCAGCGTTCATTGATTGTTTTCCAGGGCCAGTGTATGGCAGTCGGGGACACCCCTTCCTTTTCAGAGCAGTGACAGTAGTCACTGACATTTTGAGGGCACCGAGCAACTCTTGTATGTACGTGGATTGTGCTTTGCAGCTCTTTTGATAAAAGTATAATCCAAGAAGCCAACTTAAGCGTGAGGGAAGGAACCAATGAATCCGTGATTGCTTTCAACAGTAAATGATAATCCATTGCCATTAAGAAGTTGATGTATTACTGCATATAAAACTGCCGTTTCAGGAGGGTGGGTGATGTGGGGTGAGAAAAACTCTCCTGCCTTTAGAGATGAATTGGACAGAATGGTTTACAGCTTTCATTGTGCAGATGGGCAGGATAATCAGTGTCGTCATATAGATGCTTCGTATGAGTAGGATACAGAGAGTAGATACGGATTTGTGGCAGAAGCCGTGTGTGGAAATCCTCTTGTGTTGAAAAGATCTTGTAAAAGCCTAAAATGGAGGCGTCAGGTCGTTGTGTGTGCGGCTGGTACGCTGTGTTCTGACTTACAAAGTGATGCCTTCCACAACGGGATATGAAACTCATATTTGATTTTGCTCTGATGGAAAGACATGTGAGGTGAAGTGGGGATTGCTCCTCTCTGTGCTTTATCCTGATCTGATGGGTAGGGAAGAAAAAAACCTAAGTATCCCTCAAAGCCAGTTATACATGCTGGATGATATCCCTCCCCCACTTTTTTTTAAGATGTTATTTTTAAGTAATCTCTACACCCAGTGTGGGGCTCGAACTCACAACCCAAGATCAACAGGTGCATGCTCTACTGACCGAGCCAGCCAGGCACCCCATGTGTGCTCTTACTTTAATAGCATGATTCTTGCAGAATGTCATTTCTGGGTGTTTTGAGGAGCTAGCTCGCTAAGAAAAGGCAGAGTACCTACCCAAAGGTAGAACAACTTCTCTCGGGAAAATTTTTAGCCATATTTATAGAGACCATTAAAAGAGAAGAAACAGTGTTGTGGGGTGCAAACCCTTGTGTGTGTTGATGTGCTTGAAGTTGTTAGGTGACTTGTTTGGAGATATATTCAAATTAGCAAAAACGAGAGCCTCCCCCGCTTTCATATAAGCGCTCACTGCTAGGTCTTATCAATGGCTTTGGAAACAGTAGATGTGTATTTCTTGAGCTAGGTCAAGAGTTACTTATACCCTGTGCTGTGAAAAGAGTTTAGCCGTCGCTGGATTCACAGAGAATCTATTAGCAGAAAAGTCTGCTTTCTCTCATTCAGATACAAAGAATTGTGAAGTCTCTCAGACTTTTCATGTGGCCTTAGGAAGCAACACCATTTTATAGAATTCAAGAACTGCTGTTTTTTTTTTTTCTTAGTTGTACCAAATATATTTTTTTTCATATTCATCATGAGTAGATTGTTAAAATGTCCATTTCAAATCTTGAGAATGTTGTATAAGTCTATAAAAATAGAACAATATGATATTTGGCTTACACATTTAAGAATAGTTCATTTGTCTCCATGATAGAACTCTTTCAATGGAACAAAGAAGCTGAAGTTTTTGTTCTGTTGAGGTTTTCAGTCCATATTTTTGTTGGGGGGCTAAATCTTAGTATAGAATAATAACACCAGTTGACTACTTTTAGCTTCTACCTACAGCATCTGAAAGTCACACAGACTTTCTCCTACATGGCGTGCTGCCTTCATTCTGACTTTGCTGTATTTATATAGTAACGTCAAAGGATGAGCACTAAGTTCATGGGTGAAATTTATCTGGGAGGGATGGCCAGTCAGTTGGAAGATGGCACAGAGATTCAAAATGGGTCCCCACTAATCGAAGCAGTATTCAGAAACTCAAAATTAGATTAAATGGTTAAAAGTTGGGTCCCAGCAGGAAACCTGTGGCACACTCCAGCAGGGTGGCTGAGGGGAGTTCTAGAAGGGGAGGAGGTCATTAGGGGCCGGCATTAGCCCGGCAAGGGGAGAGAGCGGTCACAGGAACCCAGACAGAGTAGCTGCATGGGGCGGGGGGCGGGGGGGCAGACACAGCATATCTCTGGTGCCCTTGCAGGGAGCAGGCTGTGGGAAAATTCCCCTTCCTCATTTTCCTGCTCTCGGGTCTCCTCCTCGTGTCTTCTACCTGCTAAACCCAAGGCAAAGATGCGGGCAAGGGAGCTGTTGATGTGAAAGCCTTATGGATCAGCCTCCTGGGGCACTGAGCAAGACAAGAGAATGGAGAGACAGGATCCCTGGGTGTGTCTGGGCCAATAGGAACATGTCTTACTTTGGAGTTGATTTTTGGATTCTTTTTTCTTTCCCCTTTCTTTGCCCACATTCATTCATTGGTCCCGCATTCTGGCTCTGTTTGGACTCTTCATTAGCGTGATGCCCAGGTGACTAGATCCAAAGAGGTACCAAGCGTTGACTGCTCTTGCCTGGCGAGACTGGAGTGAAACAAAAGCCAGTGTAGTTTATTTGTCTGTGACTTTCTTATTTTTATGTTTTAGATTTTATACTCACCCAAATGAGTATATAAAAGCTGCTCTGATTGCCAGGAGGAAGAGGCCCTATGGCCTGATTCTCTTTCCTTTTCTTCTTGTGCCGTTAACCTCACATATTAAGATTTCTTCTTGTTTTTGTTGTGGAAAAAACTAGCAGGGATTCTGATTTGATGATTATGTCTATGGTTGGGCCCTCGGAGCAAGCCATTGCCCCCGGGAGAGGGATAATAAAGAAGCAATCTGGATTTTTTTTCCTGCATACTTTGAAATGCTTGGGAGAGTAAAGATACCTGTTGTTCTCTATACATTGTGGATCGATAATGAGGATCAGTTTCATTGCTTTATTTCTATAAGAGGTGCTACTTTTTAGATACTTTGGGTCCCCCCCATATTCATGGTTGAGATTATAAAATAGTCGTTTTATTTATTTATTTTTTATTTAAAAGATTTTATTTATTCATTTGAGAGAGAGAGAGAGAGACAGAGCACAAGCAAGGGGAGAGGCAGAGGGAGAGGGAGAAGCGGGCTCCCCACTGAGCCGGGAGCCCAACACGGGACTGGATCCCAGCACCTGGGATCATGACCTGAGCCGAAGGCAGATGCTTAACCATCTGAGCCACCCAGGTGCCCCTAAAATAGTCGTTTTAAACTCTTGGGATGAAGCTCGTTAAAATGGGTTGATGGCATTCACATTGCAGTGTTAACTTTATAGTTCAAGGACTCCAGATCACTTATTAAAAGTCATATGAAAATGATAAAGGAGTTGCTGACCCAGGACCGAGGAGCTAGAAATCCTCTTCCTCTGTAACTGGGCAAGGCTTCTGTGTTTACCCGGACATCTGTAGTCATTTAAGATTGCTTCTGTGAAAACCGTAATACTTATTTGAATCTTTCGTGATTGTTTATAAAGATGAAAATGAAATCTAACCCCTAGCAGAACAAAATGAAATTAGGACACATGCTGTATTCCTAGTTTTCAGTTTTCCTTTTGTGTTTTTAAGCACCTAGTAGGTCGCAAAAGGCAATAAAGACATGCTAGCCGTTCTGTGTTTTAATATTTTATTCTTCCATGTTTAATATCTAGGTACTTTCAGTGTTTTTCTACACTGTTAGAGTTATTGATAACCATTTTCCTACACTGTTAGGATTATTGATAACAGAGATAGTTATTGTTTTGGAAATCTCAAGGAAGCCTGAAAGTGAGTGAAAAATGTTCAGAAATGAAGTGACGTACAGAAGAAGCCACCTCCATTTGGAAAAATGAAGTTTTTACATTCATAGTTTTAGATTCGTTGTGGAAGAAATATGTTGTCATTCAGTGATAGAATCCCAACTTTCTGTCTTTTCTTCCTCCCGTGGCCATTGGTAGCTTTGTTAGGGATTGGCCGCAGGCTTATGGTAACAGAAAAAGGCGTGTTGAAAAGGGGAAAAATAAGAGCACGGAAGAGAAAAATCCAGTAACAGTAAATTTCTATCTCATGCTATTAGTCAAGAATGGGCAGAAGGAAGGCGAGTCACTGTGACTTCTCTGAATTAGGCGATTCCTTGAAATAACTCAGCCACATACAGTGGATCCTTGCTGTCCAGAAAATTCCTGATTCTTATCTGGATGCTGTGCTCTCCATATCTATGTACCATTTTAAAGTGAAAGAAAATGTCTAGAAATTTCGAGGCATTTTCTCTTACTGCTCTCCGAACAGCATTTGTGTAAGTGCATTGTCATTTCCAGATCCAAATCCTGCCCAGCAGCCCAGCCTCCTGGAAGGCTTTCAGATATTCTCCAGGGAGGAGAGCTTTATCAAGTGTTTATTCTCTTCAAAAGATGCTGATTTCATTGTGTTTCTCCTAAAATACGTGGTTACAAATCACTATCAAAATTCCATGCTGAGTGGCTTCCAAAGAGGTGACAGGTTGTGTTTGTGTGTGTGTGTGTGTGCGTGCGCGTGTATGTGCGTGCGCGCGTGCGTTTAAGCTCCATCCGCCTCTGAAATGGACTCTCATCCTCTAGTCTTGCTGAGTATTCTCTACAGGTGGCATTTACCCTCCTAGTTATGCTCCTCCAGCAGGCCGCGTGGGGATGCTGCGCCCAAGCCGCCGTGTCTGGTTTGGCTGTCTGGGAGAGCGTGCGAAGGTGTCACAGTCTGATGACCTCTTTTGCTGTTGTCCATCTTGCAGGGACGGGAGAGAGTGGCAAGAGTACGTTTATCAAGCAGATGAGAATCATCCACGGGTCGGGCTACTCTGACGAAGACAAAAGGGGCTTCACCAAGCTGGTGTATCAGAACATCTTCACGGCCATGCAGGCTATGATCAGAGCCATGGACACGCTCAAGATCCCCTACAAGTACGAGCATAATAAGGTAGGCTCCTCCTGGGAACCGCAGGCAAAGCCGTCCACGGTGGCTGGGTTGGACAGTGGGTTTTTGAAGCATGCATTTTTCGTCTCCTCCCAAGTGGGACGTTTAGTGGTTCAGTATGTTCTTTATAGTTGGTTTTTTGTTTCTTTAAATCTTTAAAGTCACGTCTCTGCATGATTAGAGTTGTGTTCTTAGTGATACCGGTGGAAGACACATTTGGATGTTCGACAATAAATATACGGAGGTTTAAAATTCCGGGGGTGCCCCATTACGTTTAGAAGACTGGTTGTAAGCTCAGGCCAAATTGATCAAGGTGAGGGAATTCAGAGAAGAGACAGTGGGCTTGCTTCAGTCTCCCACTCTTGGTGCTTCCTTGAAGAAGAAGAAGAAGAAAAAAGAACAAAACAGCTTAAGAGCATTCTGTCCGGTTTAATTTTGGATTTCGTGACTTCCTTTCAGTAGTACCACAGGCTTAATTTTATTTCAAAGTAGGTCCATCTGTCACTTCCAATAACCTTTCAAACATGTTGCCCTGCACTTGTGTTAGAGTCATGCAAACGTTTAAAACCACTTGAGAAGGGGTGAGGAGAAAAACAAAATCTAAATCTTCTCAGGGCTTGTAGGTGTTGATCTTCTAGTAAGCTGGTAAAACCTCACCTTTTGTTTTTTTTGCTTTTTTGTTTGTTTGTTTTGTTTTTTTTCCAGGTGCTTTGCATGTTATTGTTTTTTTTTTTTTATTCTTATGTTAATCCCCATACATTACATCATTAGTTTTAGATGAACCTCACCTTTTGTTGACGGAGCACTGCACCTGCACTGATTTGAGAGCCTTCCTTCAAGTCTTTCGCTCGGTGCTCTGGATAATCTGTTCTTAAAAATGTTTCCGTATACCAGGTCAATATGTGGCAGCAAGAGGCTGGCATGCCCACTGTGACTCATAAACCGAGAGTTAACTCAAAGTGAACCATAGGGAAAATAAAGCAATGCTGTGTATCCCCACTTCTCTTACCATCTAGAAGCTTCTAAGTGTACAGATCATCTTAAAATCAGGCATTTTTTTTTTTCTTGGATGTTTCCTTGGAATCGAATGACTGTTTCTTATCGAATTGATGCTCTGGCACTTAGTTTTCTGACGGTGACAAGGGAGTGTCTCCACAAAGAGCAGAGAGACCCTCCACAACGATTCTTTCCCGTTTCCACTCTCAAGAGTGAAAATGATCTGGGCAGGTTGATGAGCCTGGGAATGTGGTACCTGAACCAGATGAGGCTGCCTGGATAGTTAAGCAGTCTAAATTTAGAAGGATCAGGGTTGTCCTGCCCTCCCTCTCCAAGAAATCTCAGGGTAATGAGTTTCTGAAATAGTGGCATGCTTGTTTCATTGCAGTTGTGAGAAGGAACCGTTTTTTAATGCCAGCAGCTTTCCCCAATCTACAGTTATTTGATAATATCATGATCTCATGGATTCTGGCTGAGTTAACCACATGTGTGATATGATAAACAGTTGACCCTTGAACAATGTGGGGATTAGGGGTGCCGACCCCCTGTGCAGGCAAAAATCCACGTATAACTTTCGACTCCTCCAGGACTTAACTAATGGCCTATTGTTGACCAGAAGCCTTACCAATAACATAAAGTTGATTAACACACATTTTGTGTGTTATACGTATTATACACTGTATTGTTACAAGAAAGCAAGCTAGAGAAAAGAAAATGTTATTAAGGAAATCGTAAGGAAGAGACAATACATTTACAGTACTATACTGTATTTATCCAAAAAATCCACATATCAGTGCACTTGCGTTCAAACTGTGTTTTTCAAGGGTCAGCTGTGTGTGTGTGTGTGTAATTGGCAATATGTGTGTGTTAATTACATATATATAACATACTGTCATTTTACACCTTATAATGTTGTATATATATAACATATTGCCATTTTACACCTTATAATATAATGCAGCCTCCCTTCATGTGATGCACAAAAATCATCTTTCTTGGATGTTCCAGAAGAATAGTTCAGGATCTTGCTTTGAGTTTAGCTTTTCACATGGGGCCCATTGATTGTACCATCACACAGATGTGGAAGATAGAGTGGAACTTAGGCCTTATTCATATAACACATGGAAGAATATTTAACAACGTGTGTTACTTGAGCTCTTTCTATCATTTCTAATTAAATAGACTTTACTGTGATGAATAGCGTTCAGTTAAAAATCAACGTCATAAAAAGTTATAATAATATGATTTTTCTCAGATATCATAATTACCCTGTGGAATCTTCCCACATCTCTTGGCTACTTAATACACTGCCTAATATAGGGACATGAATGTGTGCTCACCTCTGAAGTTCTCAGTATGTTTAATCCCCATTAATTTGTAATATAAATTACTTTCCCATTTGTTCCATTTTCTCTGCAATGGACACATATTCTGAAGCATCACTCCTTGCTTCATCCATTAACTTCCCAAGCTCTGCCCACTCCTTGCCTTCGTTAACGCTTATTAAGAACATAATGTCTTCTTTCTAGTCCATCCAACTGCCATTTCCTCCTAGAGTTCTTCTCTGTGCAACTCCCCCCACCCCCGCCCCAATTGCACTAAGTAATCCCACCCTCCTTTAGCAGAAACCATAGTGGAGTGTTTATAATTGCCTAGCTTGTATTCAGTATGATGACTTGGGGGGTTGGTCTTATTTTCCCAACTAGACTCAAAGCTCCTTGAAAGTAGATCATGTTAGTTGCACGTCAGCGTTTTTTAGGGACCCTGACCTTGTATCTTGTACATAGTAGAAGCTCAAAAAATACTGTTTTATGAATGGGCAAGTGATTTATCACCTTAGACAACTGAAAGTCTCCTCTTCTGCCCCCAGGTTGTTGAAATGCTTATTCAAATCAACAGATCACTGTTGAAATAGTTTTCTGTGTGTAAGGGAATCAATGCAGTGAGCTGTCAGAGATGCAGGGAAGTTTCATGAGGGCTGGGCAGAAATTGACAATCCAGAAAAAGTCAAGGGCATGGCTGAGGGTGGGGGACTTTGGGGTGGAGGAATGGCAGGAGTAGATGTTAAGAAAAAGGGGTGTGACTGTGTGGGCCAGTTTAACTTGAGCAGAATTCTTATAGAGGAGAATTAGAAAATAAAATCAAAAAATGGTTTAGAATGTGTTTCTGAAAGGTTTTGAATCCAGGCTAAGAAGTTTGAATTTTATTTTCTTGTGTTTATGAGACCCATTCAATAATAGTATTTTTTTTTTTAAGATTTTATTTATTTATTTGAGAGAGAGAATGAGAGAGAGCACATGAGAGGGGGGAGGGTCAGAGGGAGAAGCAGACCCCCTGCCGAGCAGGGAGCCTGATGCGGGACTCGATCCCGGGACTCCAGGATCATGACCTGAGCCGAAGGCAGTCGCTTAAGCAACTGAGCCACCCAGGCGCCCCTCAATAATAGTATTTTTTGTTTCAGTTAGAATTTTCTACAGAAGTTTCTGGTTATAATATGCTCTCTATTTTATAAATAGTTTAAGGAATTTGGTGTGCATTTTATTAGCAATTACTTGAAAGACATGCACTGTGATTTATATGATTTTGTGACACTAAAGATGTAAAAAATGTAGTTTTTCTAAAAGCTGCTTTGCGTCTACGGCCACATTGGTCATAATATATGGTAATAGCGTAAATAAAAACAAACACATTCTAATATTTTTCTCCTAACTTTGTACTTGCTTCTGAGTTCATGTATTTTATAGAGCGAAATGTAGCTTAAAAATGGTATGACCTGTTCTTAGCTGGGAAATTGTTCACAGTTTCATTTGCTGTGAAATTCGTTCTAGCTATGGGAATACTACACCAGAATATTGGAATTTCTTTGGCTCCTGAGTAAGTGTTACTACACTGAATTGAGAGTCCTGCTGGTTAGCTGGGGGGCTGGTGCCATGGTCAGGGGGAGTCCAGGCCACCGTCTCTGCCCTAGATGGTGGTGTGGCATCCCATGCCTTTTTGTAGACCTTACACAGTGTTCCAGGGATCGGCTAGCTGAGGAGTAGCTTGTGATAAATTACATACTTTCACCAAAATAAAGATCACTTCTGCCCTGGATGAGTATCGACTATCCCATTCTTGAATTTTCTTTGCCAAGCGAGTAATGTTTATAGGTGAGCTGCTTGGACTCCGCCCAAGTGAGAGAATATATCTGGAGACTTCTTCTGAGTATACCGTGACCTAGGGTTTGTTTTTTCCTAAATATTACTTTGCCATTTCCTTAAACACAACTGTTGATAGCTGATGTTAAAAGGGATTAAATGTTTGTCGCTTAGTCAAATCAAAAGATACATTTAATGCTCCACTAGGTACAAAGCATTCGACTGTGACATTCCTCTGTCATTTTTTATTCTCCAGAAGGGAGAATTTTCGTCAGCATTATTTTATGGTTTCCCCTCTTACGCAGACCTATTCTTCTGATTATTCGTTGTTTGGGTGCTGAAATCAGCTCTTTATGAAAAGGAAGAGATAAAAAATTTCTATGCCCACATGGCTAAGAACTGTCTTGAATTACAGCAGGGGCAGGGTTGGGGGGGGACAGGACGGGGGAATAGACGACGAGGTATTGACCCCTGATTTTCATGTATTTGTTCTCTGTGCATGGCAGTTGGCATTCTTCCTGCATCGCCTGTTGATCATTCCTATGCAGGTGCCTTATTTTCTCAGATTGCACAGTACGTTATAGTGAGCAGGCTTCTTGTTTTGTAATTCATTGTCTCCACAATCTGCCGCACATGTTGGTGCTTTTGCTCATTGAGTAGACTACCCCAGATTAGCAGATCTGATATCCCTTTACTGTTGGCTTATAGTTTCTATGAACTGTGAAATCAGCCTATTCTTAGGGCAGTTTCAAAGGATTGACAGGCTTTTGCTGCCTTGTCCAGTCCCAGAAAGAGAGAAGAATCTGATGCGATGCTTCTTCATGCAGTGAACTCAGGATGGTTACTGAGTAGAACTCAACCACTTGCTAT